GACTCTGTGTTTTTCAAAGTCCCTGTAGCAGATACAGCAACCTGGGAAAAAGGGGTCTAAGTTCTTATCTACACTTAGGAATCCTGGTTTAAGCTTCTCTTTGTCTGTAGGGGATAGAGTGTGGGGGGGGGTTTACTGAGGTATCACATTAGGATCAGTGGTACAAGTTGCCCAAATAGAAATCCATACACTTCACTTATTAAACAAGAAAGCAGGAAGTGTCACGACCCACAAGGATATGAAATAGAAAATCCAGCTGTATATAATAAGCTTATACCAGCCAAGGGTCTGTCAAATGGAAAGTCATTTATCACGAAATATTTGGTGTTACACAGCTTTAATATTTAGCTGCGTGTTGCTATGAATTCCTTGTGCTTATAATTCTCCCAGAATGTGTGTATGTGTATGAACCTCCATTTTAGGCTTATATGCTCAAAGTGTTTGGATAAAGTCGTGTAGGCAGAACTTTCTGGCTCTGAGCTCCCTTTTTAGCGTTTGAATTGGGTATCTGCCTTTTGCAAATATTTCCTTCTAGCCACATCCAAAGATAGGGCTAGCCCCAAACAAAGCATTAAAAGACAAGAGCAGAGCCGGGCGGTGGTGGCGCACGCCTTTAATCCCAGCACTCGGGAGGCAGAGCCAGGCGGATGTCTGTGAGTTCGAGGCCAGCCTGGACTACCAAGTGAGTTCCAGGAAAGGCGCAAAGCTACACAGAGAAACCCTGTCTCGAAAAACCAAAAAAAAAAAAAAGACAAGAGCAGAACAGAAAGGCTACCAGACCACCCGCTAGGCGCCTGAAGCCCTTGAACTAGGTAAGCAACTGGGCTCCCAGGCCAAGTGCCTGGCCTCCTAGGTGCATAGCTTTGTTTATTGTGCAAATCAAGTTCAGACCTTCCACTGCCCCAGAGCAACTTCTTAAATCAAAGGGGTTTCCCCTCACCAGGCACTTCAAGCTGTGATGCAGATTGACTAGCTGTCAGTACTCCTCCCCCGCCCTGTCAGAAAACTGGTAGCAGAGAAAAAGAGTGGCAGTTTTATTTTTAATGACTTACAGATTTCTTTACCCTATCACCTGTAAGTTTGTAGTTTGAGCACATTTGTGATAGACCCGTAATGTTTTCACCTAACCACAGTAAGGATAGATTCCTAGCACATAAATTCCTTCTCTGATTTATTCCAGCTCCTCTCTAACTCTGCCTTTATCCTCTTCCTCCTTTTGGGTTGCAAATGAAGTTGCCAGGAAGCTTCTGGTGGGGACCTTGCAAATTCTTATGTTGTATTGCAAACATGAAGGTGTTGCTGGCTTGGGAAAGATATAGATGAGCCCCAATAGAAGTGGGCTAAATATTTGGACAGAATGTTGGTGGCGGACGAATAAACGAGTTGGACTAAAGAGCTCCGGGTATCTAGATTCATTCCCACACCGCTGGTAGCGTCACTTCTGGGCACCCTGGGATAGTATAATATTAAGGCTGGTCCTATAATATTATATAAAACACACACACAAGTAAGTAAATAAATAAATAGTTTTAAAAGATATGCAAGTCAGAACTATAAAATAGAGGCTGAGGATGTGGTTCAGTTGCAGAGTGCTTCCTAGGATTCACAGAGCCATGGATTCTGTCCCCAGAATCACATAAAATGTGTGGTGGCACACACTTGTAATTTCAGTACTTGGGAAATGAAGACAGATGAACCAGGAGCTTGGGGTTATCCTTGGCTATATAGAGAGTTGAAGGCCAGCCTAGGGTATGCAAAACCCTGTCTAAAAAATAAACAAAAAGTAGTCAGTGAGATGGCTTATGGGGTAAAAGCCTTTCCCATGAAATTTTGAAGACATGAGCTTAAGCTTAATTCCTCAAACCTCTGGTGGAAGGTGAGAACCAGCTCCCACAAGCCATCCTCTGACTTCGACATGCTTCATGGGATGCACATGTGCACACACAAAAATAATAAGATGAACCTTTGTGAGCAATCAAAAAAACAAGTTATGGGGGATGAAGAGATAGTTCAGCAGTTAAGAGCACTGACTGCTCTTCCAGAGGACCTGGGTACAATTCCTAGCACCCACATGGCAGCTCACAACTGTCTGTAACTGCAGTTCCAGGGGATCTAACACTCTTGGCAAAGCACCAATGCACATAACATAAAAATAAATAAATTAAAACAACTGTAGGGGGCCTGCCCCCACTTTTCCCCCCAGGGTACTCTTTAGCAAGGAGAAGTGAGAAGTATTTAGATAGAAATACAGAGGAGAGAGACAGATAGAAACACAGGATAGCCTCTGGAGGGCCTGAGTCAACACTCACCAGCAGCCTTCTGTCTCTTCTAAAGGGCTTTTAAAGGAATGCCAAAGAATGGAGCAAAAGATCTCCTCCTAGCACAGCCAAGTACAGAACATTCCAAACACCTGGTAACTACGCACATGGTCAAGCCATCCCCTAATGCAGCCCTGCAGTGTAAAGCAAGCTCAGATCTCACTAGGAAACCTCTGTGGACCTCAATAAACAACAAAACAAACAAAAAAACCCAAGCCATAATCAAAAATGTTATTTGCATTGCAACATAATAAAAACATAATGTATGGGTGCAGGGGTGGGGGACATCACCTCTTAGGTGAAATAAGCCAGACTGAGAATTTCAGGTCCAAAAAAATTTTTCTGTTATGTGCAGAATCTAGAAAAAGCAAAATGCTATGAAAGTAGAAGGGAGACCATTCGAGATGCTGAGGGAGCAAGCAAGAAGAGAAGGCAGTTGAGAGGTGATTGAGTTCAGATCACACTCTGCACGACATATGCCAATAACAACTTAAAATCACAATGAGACATCACTTCACGCCCATTTCAAGAACAATTGCTAAAAAGAGGAAGTGGCAAGTTACTGAATCAGACAGAGGAACTGAAACTCCAGAATGTGACATGGTGCAGCTGCTGCAGAGAGCTTGATGGTGGAAACTCCAACAGACACAGACACAAGCAGCATCTGAACCAGCAGCTCTGTCTCTGACTGTGCACACTGGAGGCTGAGATCAGATTCTTAAGATAATGCCCATGATCCATAGATAGGGCACCAGAACATGGAGTTCCTTCTTATGTCCAGCTGACCAATGTTCAGAGCTCACTGTATGTTTGATTAATGGATGAGTGAATAAATGCAGGCTTCAGTTATCCCAGACCATCCTCCTGCCAAGACATTCATCACAACCCTACAGCATCCTGCATCCTTCAGTACCTGCCACCTGATGAGTACAGAGGGGGCTGTGACACTGTGAGGCCAGGCATGAGGGCCCCAGCTCCTGCTGTAAACAGTATGCACAGAAAGTCACTCAGAAGTTGAGTGTGGTACAGTGAAATGCTGACTTCAGGGCACGACATAATTTGTGTTGACACAAACTAGAGTGACCTGAGAAAGGAAACCTCAGCTGAGAAATTGTGTCCATCAGACTCGTCTATGGGGAAATTTTTTTTTTTTTTTTTTTATTGCTGATTGATGGAGGAGGGTCCAGTCCACAGAGGGAGATGTCATCCAAGGGCAGATGTTTCTGGGTTGTATAAGAAAGCAGGCTGAGCAAGGAAGAAGCTGCAAGCCAGTAAGCAGCATTTATCTATGGCCTCTGTCTTAGTTCCTGCCTCCAGGCTCCTATTTTGAGTTCTTGTCCTGATTTCCCTCAGTGACAGAATATGACCTAAAAGTTATAAGATGAAATAAACTATTTCCTCTCCAAGTTGCTGTTAGTCACAGTGTTTTATTAGAGCAACAGGAAACCAAACTATTGCAGAACTATTTTTCTGTGTGGATTGTGGAGGAGGACGTTTGTCTTCAATTGAGTACCCAAGGGTGTGCCCACCAGGCCCCAGTGGATAGCTCCAAACCTGTAGACATACAGACAGTCCTGGTTAAAATTCATGGGTCACACAACAAATCAAAAAGACATTAAGCCGGGCGGTGGTGGCGCACGCCTTTAATCCCAGCACTCGGGAGGCAGAGGCAGGTGGATCTCTGTGAGTTCGAGGCCAGCCTGGGCTACCAAGTGAGTTCCAGGAAAGGCGCAAAGTTACACAGAGAAACCCTGTCTCGAAAAACCAAAAAAAAAAAAAAAAAAAGACATTAATGTGGGGAAAAGACCTGTATGGAGGGGGTGACAAGGGTCAAAGGGAGATGTGAGGGTGGGAGCAGGAGAGAAAATGATGCATTGGATACGTGCATGCTAAAGAACGAGCTTAATCAATAAGAAAAGGGAACTGAGTGTGATAGGTGCCTGTAATCCCTGCAATAGAGAGGCTGAATAGGGGAAAGCTAGTTCAAGACCAGCCTGATCTACATAAAAAGGTCAAGTATCAAAATCACCAAGGGCTAGTGGTGAGTTCGGTGGTAGAGTGTTTACGCAAGACCCCAGGCTGGATCCACAGCACGGCAAGAGGTAGAAAGTGGTCACTTAGTGTGGTGATATTTTGTGTATGATCTAACAAATTAAAGCTTGCCTGACGATCAGAGGGCAAAGCCAGCCACTAATTAGCCTTAGAGGCCAGGCAGTGGTGACACACACCTTTAATCCCAGCACTAGGGAAGTTGAGACAGGAAGTGAAATGGCTGGGTGGAGAGAGATACATAAGGCGGGAGGAGAAAGGAGCTCAGCCTTTTTGGCTGAGGAGTTGGTGAGGTGAGAGGTGGCTGTGGCTTGTTCCTTTGCCTCGCTGATCTTTCAGTATTTACCCCGATATCTGGCTCCGGGTTTTTTTAAGACTAATTAGGATTCGTGCAACAGAGTAGACCTGATATGTCCCCTGTGTCTGGTTCTGACTTAGTGGTAGGGTCCCCTCCCTCCCTCCCTCCTTCCCTCCCTCCCTCCCTCTGCCTCCTTCCCCTCCCCCTTCTCTCTCCCTCCCCCTACTCTCTCTTTCCTCTCCTTTAGGTGGTTCTCTAACATCTGTTGGGGCCTTAGCCTCAGGGTCTCCATCTGCTCTGTGGTGAGGGTAGGAACAAGAGTCCTCTGTGGTTCCTCTTCTGTGAACTGAAGTCTCTGGCTTCTTTCCAACTTCAGAGGATTCTGCAACACTTTCTCTTGAACCTGACCTCCCATCTCTACTCCCTCACAGAACCCCAGGAACTCTTCCCGATGCAGCTGCTCCTGCTGCTGCTCTTGGTGTGGGTACATCACTGGACACTCAGAGCCAAGCCTTCTACTGCCACAGAGTGCAAGGATGAGAGATACAAGGTGGAAGTGTTGGAGATGGTGCTGGTACAGGAAGGTCTCTGTGTCCTTGTGCCCTGCACATTCACCGGTCCTAGAACCTATCCTGTTCAAGTTTATGGCTCCTGGTTCCACACAGGGGCCGATAGAAGTCAAGACTCTGCAGTGGCCACAAACAACCCAGAACAGCAAGTGCTGAAGGAGACCCGGGGCCGATTCCACCTCGTAGGGGACATGCAGAGCAACAACTGTTCCCTGGATATCAGAGATGCACAAAGAGGTGACAACGGTTCCTACTTCTTCATGGGAAAGCAGCAAAGAAAGTCACAGTGGAGTTCCTGTGGGAAGCCAGTGTCTGTGCATGTGACAGGTAAGTTGTAGGCTCCCACCATTGGGGAATGTCATGGTGCCACAGGACAGGACTGGGATGGGACCCCGTTCTGAAAGTGGCTGAGGCTGGAGCATCAGGACTCTCACAGGAGCTAGATCAGAGTCAGGCCTTTCCTCCCAGCTGCACCTCACCCACTACCTGATCCTACATGGCTCCCCTCTCCTCACCAGCCCTCATATACAAACCCCACATCTTTCCGCTGGAGACCCTGAAGCCTGGCTGTCCCAGAAACCTGACCTGCTCTGTGCCCTGGGCCTGTGAAAGGGGGACACCTCCCATCTTCTCCTGGATGTCAGCTGCCCTCACCTCCCTGGGCCCAAGGACCACTCTCTCCTCAGTGCTGACCCTCACACCCAGGCCTCAGGACCATGGCACCAACCTCACCTGTCAGGTGACCTTTCCTGGAGCTGGTGTGACTGTGGAAAGGACCATCCAGCTCAATGTCACCTGTGAGTAAAGACAGAACACCCTGGCCATGAGGATGCAGAGATAGGAAGATGGGGCTGGAGAACCATGGTGGGTGAATCCTGAAAACCTGGTGAACTAGGGGCACAGAAGGGCACAGAGCCTGTTCCTCTACTAGGCTGATTCCTGGGATGGTGTCAAAGGTAGCTGCCTTATCTCATGCTCACCCCAAATAAAGAGAGAACCCCATTCTCTGTTCATATGCTACAGAGAACCAAGATTGCTGCCTTACCTCATGCTCACCCCAAGTAAAGAGAGAATCCCATTCTCTGTTCATAAGCTACAGAGAACCCTCAATCCATGCCTCCCAGGATGTGGCCAGCAGTTGCTGGGGACGTAGCTGAACCAACTTCACTCAGACTTGATGTGGAATGTTCATCATGAACCATCCATCAAGCCTCCTCCCCAGTGATTTCTGATACTTGCAGGGATATCCATGAGAGACCAGCAACCTCTCCCCTGTCCCTCTGTACAGATGTTTTTCCTCCAGTCAGTGACCCTCCTGGGGGAATTTTTATAAAATGATTTTTAGTTTTCCGATTGGCATAAGTTCCACAGTAGAAGTGAGTAGTAAATACCAGAATTTCTTACACACACGCTGCACCCACAGTCTACAGCCTCCTGTGACACCATGAGATGCTCCATTGTCACAAAGGATGAGTCTTCACAGACATGTTGCCATGACCTAGAGATCACAGGTCACATCAGGGTCCACTATTTGACACGTGTATGATGGGCTCCACCATAATGGCGTCAACCAGAATGTTAGCTCAACTCTAAAAGTCTCTTGGGGATGCTTTGTTAACATTATTGTTGTTACTGATGTTGTTGTTTGCTGCCAGTCCTGAAGCTCTTAACCCTGACCCCTGCCCAGTCATCAGCACCCCCTACCCTGCCCTGTTCACGCTGTGGTCTTTACTGGACAAAGAGCCTATAAGAGCAGAGGAGATTCCCTCGGTAGTGTGGACAAGAAATGCTGAAACAGCTACCTGAATCTGTGTGGGAGGATCCCAGGAAGCACCGCCAGGCAGAACCACGTGGGCTCTCTAGGTCTGATTCAAGGTCCAACAACCATCCTCCTAACCAATCTCATCTGCCCTCCTCTGTGGCACAGATGGCCACGTTGACCCTGAGGGATGGGCAAAAGAGACCCGGACAGGGACTCAGATAGCATCCTTGGGAAGAAGAGAGAGGAGAGTATGAATCCATGCACTCTCTGTCACTGTCTGTAGTTGGATGCTTCAGAGAGCAGGATTCTGGTCCTGCTGTTACCAGCACATAGTTGGGGGGGGGGTCATCTTTTTGCTCTATTGGGGTAGAAACCATAGTTGGTCAAGAAGCTTGTAATGGTCTTCATCACTTTCTGATCCCTGTTCCCTGGGTGTTTGGCAGCAATGAGCAGAGGCAGGTGGCAGCTCCTAGTGTTCCAATTCAGCAATTGTGTCAGGATCACGAGCCCTACAAGAGTGACACTTCTGTCTAGACTGAGGGAATTTCTCTGACTTGAAAGCTCCCTGGAAACCTCTGGGTTCTTGGACTGTATTGTCCTCTGACTCCTCACACATTCATAACTTTCTTCTCGGCTTCCTCTCAGCTCTCTACCGCTCCTGCTAGCTCTCCTTCTGATGGCTTCTTCTTCCTCCTTTGGAGATTCCGAAAGTGTCAGAGGCTGGCTGCCTTGTCCCCTCCACGCTGCCTGCTGACTGGTCAATAGCTGTTCCCTTTCTCTCAGCTGGCTACACCCTTACTATGCTTTCTCTTCTGCTTTCTTCTTCTTGGTACCAGTTCAGCCTACACTACTGAAATAGACCAGAAAAACATTTCCAGAGAAGCTTTTCACGGAACCTAATGCTGCGACACCTATGTTTCCCAGCCCACTCTGAAAGAAGCTAATGCAGCCTGTGTCTATAAGCTAAAAGGGTGTTTGGACCAATCACAGCCTCACCTCTTCACAGGGGTCCCTTTCTTCAGCCACTGGGGAAAATGCTTCCACTCTGGTTCCAGTTAAAATAGTTGCAGAGTCATTTGGAGTTCTTTGAAAATTGTGAAAGCAAAAAGTCTCCTACAAACTCTTCCAAACCCCTCTGGCTGGGGCTGGCCCTTCAGGAACCAAGACAACCAGCTGTGAGCTGGGAAGTGCTCCAGCTGTCTGGTGTTTGCATAAACACAGAGTAGCTAGCTGCTGGCTGCTTAACTAAGAACCCTTTTGCTCAAGGGAGCCAAAGCAGCAAGGGACAATCCAACACCTAGTGACTGGGGAGTCTGATTGCCCATCTCGCAACATCCTTGCCTACTTATGAGAAAATAAACTTCAGAAGGAAGCCTTACAACAAGAAACATTAACCTTCACAGAGACTTTCACAGATTTCAACATTACATCACCAGCACTTAGCATCTTCCCAGTGCTCTGGGGAGAACTGTCCTCCTCATTATTTGTCTGTGTGTTTGATGTAGAGATTCCAGGTAGAGAGGAACATGGGTTCTGGGAGAGATGGACTCCAGTGGGCTCAGGTGGACTGCGTGCTTTATCTGAGATTCTAGAAAAATAACGAGCTCCTGTGGTGGGAAACAGACTTTGTGTCTGGACCCCATCTCAGAGATGAGAGCCCTGGAGAGGTACAGGCTTGCTCATCAAGATCAGAGCTCACCTAAGTCTCCTTCAGCAGGGAACCCAGGAAGAAAATCAGCTTCAGGAGTGATTCTGGGAGCCATCGGGGGTGCTGGTGTCACAGCCCTGCTCTCCGTCTCCATCTGCCTCATCTTCTTCATGTGAGCCTCAGCTCTGGGTCAGGGACAGGTGAACGGGGATACCAAGAGGAAGGGCTGAGAGGGCTGTGAGAACATGTGGCCAGAACACAGGCTGCAGGGTATTGAGAACTCAGGTGGCAGCCACTGGCAAGCACAGACCTGCCCCATCTAGATGTCTAGATGTCTAGGAAGTAAGAGTAGTTCTTGTCACAATCATGTCATAAGGGACACTTGACAAGTGCTCCTTAGACCTATCATGGTCCTATATTCTATGATCATGACCATAACCCCTAGTTTGAGGAAACCAGGCTGAACAAGTCTTTTGTCTCCCACCAGAGTGAAGGCACACAGAAAGAAAGCAGCCAGGACTGCAGTGAGCATGAGCCACATGCACCCCACTGTTGAGTCACTTTCCCAGGTAAGTGCCACAGGGACCCTGGAGCCCTTGGGACACTTCCTTGTGGGAGGAGAACATGGTGGCATCCCATTAAGCATATACAGATCTGAGCTTGTCGCTTCCCCCTTACTGATGGTCTTGATATACGTGTAGTCTTTAAGTATAGTGAGGCCTGCCAATCATTAGACCTTTGCTATTGAAAAAGAGTATAGAAAACACTTTCTAGGAAGGATGGGCTTGCTGGGCCATGTGAAGCTACATGAGGCAACATCAGGTCTGTTCATCATCAGTGAAAGTGAGGGGACAACATAGACAGGAGCCCTGACTATGGAGTTCATTGGAAATAATTAATGGAACAGGGTGAGCAGGCTGGGCAGGCTGGGCAGCTTAGATCAGCTACTCTGAATATCATGGCTATTTCTATTCACCTGGTAACCGAACCTGGGGTTGTGGGGTAGAAGGACAGAGGCCCATTGTGTCAGAGCTCCCTAAAGGATATGGTTGGGTTAGATGTAGGATTGGGGTATGCATGGGAAAGGTGCACATGCAGCCAGCTCTTTCAATGTCCCTAGAAACTCTCTTCCCAAGAGAAGCAGCACCTCCAGGGTCAAAAGCCCAGATCAGAACATCACAAACACAGTCATCAACCCCTGAACACACTTCTCTTGATGTCTCTCCATCTCTGTGATGGTACTTGTGTCCCCCTACCCAATCAGCACCCAGCCCCTGTGCATCCCATCTCCTACCAGTTCTTTCTCTGCAGTATGTCACAAAGAAATGTCTGATGTTTCTGAATATATAGTGTAGTGCCAATCCATGGAGTGTGTGACCAGGGGACAAGTTCCAGGCCAACCTAGGCTACACAATGAGATTCTGTTTCTAAGAACAAAATACAACACAAAAACAGAGGTGTTGACACAGTCCAGGTCCAAATGATGGATCTGGATGAGAGTGAGATTCAGCATACACCTCTAAGGAAGACTCAAGAGGTAAATGAATGCCTGTGTATTTGTAAAACAGCTTGCTGTCTCCATCTCATATGTGTCATAGATGACTCATAGACAGTTCTAGATGTCACCAATGGCCATAGAGGTCACACATCACAGTTCTGTGGTTGCCATGAATAGTTTAAAGAACTGAGCTGCCAATGCACACAGCCAGCCCTGCAGATGGAGGAAATCATGAAAAGAACCATCACTCTGGTTCCTAAAAGGATGAGGAGTCTCTGAGATGTCCAGGTGAAAATGGACAGTAGATACCAGAGCCTGGGGTCAGCAGACTCTCCACATCAAGGTCTAATGTGGTTGAAACCACAAATACAAGGAAAGCCCACACAAAATGCACTAAACCCGCCATCACTCAGAGTCAGAAAGATGAAGGAGAAGAGGTAAGAAGACTGGGAAGAGAAGCCACTGAGCAGAGCCATCTGTGAGGAGAGTGCAGAGATGTGTCCTGTGGTCGCAGGTGATGACAGGGTGTCAAGGAGGGGACTGAGTGTTGTACAGGAGGCCAGGAGTGAGAATGGAACTGGTATTTAACAAAATCAAGTGATTTTGATACTCAAAGGTCTGGGAGCCGAATGGAAAGAAATCCCTCTTACCAGCAGGAACTGGGGAGAGAAAGGGAGGCGAGGGGGTGGGCACTATGGGTGCTAAGCATGCTTTTGAGAAAACTTGTACTTAATCAGAGCTGGAAAATGGGCCAGTAGCAGGAAGTGGCTGTGCTTTGTAATTATCAGCCATTTCTATCAGTGTCCAGTGCTATGTCTCCAGAGCATGACACACATTTGTCTGTGACAGACATCTCAGGCCTGCAGTAGCAGGACTCCCATAGTGTTCCCACCACATGGAGACCCAAAAAGAGAAGCTAGGCTCTGGGGAAACTGCTGTCCTTTGGCCTCCCTCCAGTTCACATACGTGATCACAATACCAGCCATCATGAAGCTTATGTCTTCATCCTTCTAACACCTGAGTCACGTGACCCATCTCTTGTTTCTCTGTGGATCCATCTTCAGCACATGAAACATCTCAGGGAGACCTGGGGTGCAGTTCATGTTCAGTAGATTGGTGACCTTGTAAAAGACCCAGCCTCTTTAAGGCTTGGTTTTCCTGTCTGTAAAATGGGTAAAATAATAGTATTTTCCACCTAGGTCCTTCAGAGATGGCCATAGAATGTGGAAAGCAATGTGGGTGGCTGGGGATAATGGAAGCAACACATACAAATGAGTGGAAAGAACAAATAAATCAATGTTGTGTAATCAACTGACACTTCAGAAACGCTTCACTGGAGTGAATGAATGTCCTGTTGGAATGAGTTCATTTCCATAACCTTTTCTGCCCTCATCGGGTTCCCCCAGGCCCACCCTGACTTTCTTCTTTCTCTCCACACAGTGTCAACAGCAGGACTCCAAGGTTCACAGCCATGTTGAGGACCCCACCTTGGGGATAGAGCAAGAAGTACACTATGCGTCCCTCAGCTTTCACAGGTCAGCGCCTCGGAAGGAAACCTCTCCCTAGTATGTAGAGATATGGACCCATTGAGGAACCATCAGGAACATCACTCTTAGCTGGAATACTGTGTCTTCTGTGACTGATTTTCAGAGACTTTCCATCATACAATTCTGAGGTTTCTGCTGAAGCAAAGTCTCTCTTAATTCCCTTGTGAATATATTTCTCTCAAGACCAGTGAACTGGGCATTGAATACTGTCTCTCGCATGCCCAAGTCTATAAAGAATGCTCATATCACTGAGGAAAGTCAGGACAGGAACTCAAGCAATAAGTTGAAGCAGAAACCATGGAAGAGGGGCTGGAAAGGTAACTCAGAGGTTAAGAACATGCAGTTCTCTTGCAGAGGACCTGAGTACAGTTTCCAGCACCCACATCAGGTAGCTCACAAGCACCTGTAACTTTAGCTCTGATCAGAAGCACGTACCCACATTGACCTGACTAGTTTATTGTCAACAAGTTATTTGATAATAGAGACTCCATTGAGGAAATGACCCTATAAGATTTGTCTGTAAGCAAGTCGGCAGTGCATTTTCTTAACTAGTGATTGATGTGGGAGTGCCCAGCCCATTGTGTGCCATGCAACGTATGAGTAAGTGGTGGTTCTGGGTGCAATAACAAAGTGAGCTGATCAAGCCAGTAAGAAGCACTTCTCCAAATCCTCAGGATCAGTTCCACCTCCAGATTCTTGCCTTGAGCACCTGCCCTGATTTTCCTGGATGATGGACTGTTGTCTGAAATAAACCCTTTCCTCCTCAAGTTGCTTTTGGTCACGGTGTTTCATCACAGCAATAGGAAACCTAAGACTGGAAATGGTACCAGGAGTAGGGTATTTCTTGACAGACCTGACCATGTTTTGAGGAGGATTGTGAAAGGACTTTGGAACATTGAGCTAGGAAAGTCATTAAGTGTTCAGAGTTTAATGATCTACTGTGGGAACTTAGAAGATAATGCTGAGAGCAGGGCAAACAATGGAGGCTTGTTTTCTAAAGTTTCAAAGGAAGCAAAGACTCCATTGGAGATGTGTGATACTTTGAATTAAGAATATGTGGTTCTGGTCAGTTGGGGAATCAGCTGTAATTAACAAGAGACCAGCACCGTTGAAGTGAAACCCTTTTCAGTCTCAGCTCTACTGAGACAATTGATGCCGGTCAGCAGAAGCCGAGAAATCATCAGTGATTAAGAAGAGACCAGCATCATTGAGGCGAAATCTTCTGGGAAGTATTTCTTTAGTGTTGGCACACAGAAACTGTGTTCCAGAGGGGCCGTGCTGGTAACTTCTGCTGACAGCCGAACTTGGTCATGTGTAAGAGTCACTGAGGTGGTACTGAAAAGGCATGAAGGGGTCATGGAGAGCAGATGAGGCTTGTACTGTGCATCAGAACTGGAATCCATGAAGAGAGGTCCAGAGAGGCCACTGGTGAGGTGCAACCTCAGCTGCAGCAGAAGCCCCAGGTCTGAAGAGGCAGTAGAGAGAAGATGGGACTTGGCAACACATGGCAGGATCAGAGTCCCTGAAGAGAGACCAGAAGAGACTGTTGGTGAAGGTGCAGCCCAGTTTCAGTGCAGACCACAGCATTTTGGAGATGCCAGCACCATGGGATGACCACTGAGGACAGCAGCAGCCATGCAGTGGAGCTGACCTGCACCTAGGAGACAAGCTGTGTGTCTGCTGTATATAGAGAGCCAGAGAGGTACCACTGCCAATCGCTTTGGAGCCCAGATCATGGGTCCCAGATGTCTGACACTGAGCTTTATACTGCTAGACCTTAGTTTTGTTTTGATCTGAGACTATACCCTGGTTCTTCCCTCTTGGATAGAAAGTACATAACCTATGTTTGATTTTACAGAAGTCCACAGTAAAGAGATTGGACTTTTCAAGAGACCTTTTGAGAAACTTCACTCCCTCCCTCCTTGTTACCTAACTCTTCTTGTGGGTCAGGAATGGCTGTTTTGCTCACACCTAATTTTCATTTTCTTTCCCTTACACCTGCCTTTCATCTTCTCCCTCTTCTGCTTTACCTTCCAAGCCAGAGACTAATACAGAGGATCACATCTGCATATCTTTCCCCTTTTAATTCTTCTCTCACAAAGGCAAGTTCCTTCTGGAAAAAAACTCTTAGTCTCACTTGCAGGTCTCACTGCCCAGGGAAGAGGCCACACAGACGCCACCATAGCTGCTTGCTGTTATACCACACATGTGCTGCTTTAAATGATTGCAATTAATTATTCTATATTCCACCAGCCATTGGAGAAACAAATACTATTGTGACAGACCTCATTTATTAATAAGTGCCACCCCATATGAGGTAGAGGAAGATGGCCACCTTTTGGTTCCCTTCAAGAATGCTTCCTTATCAGACAGCTCAGCCTCAGTTACATGCCACTCATAAATAGGGGCCCCACCAGTGCTACTATGGCGAAGAGGCAGGCCATCCCAGATGCAGGGAAAAGGTAGGTGTACAATAATCACCCCACCACTGGCCAGCCTTCCTACAGATGAGTGTCACTTGCATTCTTATGGCCCATTGCAGGCCCCATCGAACTGCTCTTCCCCACACCGTCTCCAGTTTGGTCGAACCCTGTGTGAACCCCATCTGAATGACTTGTCCTGGGGAGCCATGAACAAACTTCTACTCACTCCGGCATTGTGTATCAATTTCCTCCAAGAGAAAACCATCCATCTTGGAGGGAAGCTCACAAAAGTCACAGGATGTTTTAAAGGAGAGTAAAACATTCTACCCCGCCAAAAAGCCCATCACGCTCAAGATGTAAACCACTCAGAAGCTTCAGGAAGTCCCTAAAACTGACCAGATTCACTAGATTCCTCCCTCCCCAAGCACACGTAAACTTGGAATTCTAAGAGACCCTCAGACAAACTGGGTGCCTAGCAGAGGTTCAGACTGGTTGAGCCGCCTAGCCTTAAGGGGACACTTTGTGAATCTTGTCACTTTCTTGTACACTTCTGTAACTCTCCTGTAACTTAGGTGAGCCTCCCTCCTTCCCCACATGAGATATTTCAGTCAGGAGGAAACAACTACACAGCACCAGCCCACAGGCGGGACCCGCCCCGCCCCAGGGGAGGGCGAGCTAGTGCTGGAGTGAAGGAACAGCGCAGACAGAGTGCTAGCTGCCCGAGGAGCCTCTGACACTTCCTCTGGTTGCCCAACTAGTCTTCCCTTTCTCCTCCCGTCCTCTGTGCGATCACATCTCAGAGGAAAAGAAAAACTGCCCCTGGCACTAGAGAGACGGCTCAGGGTTTAAGAGCACTTGTTTCAGGCAGTGGTGGCGCATGCCTTTAACCCCAGCATTCGGGAGGCAGAGGCAGGCGGATCTCTGTGAGTTCGAGGCCAGCCTGGTCTACAGAGCGAGATTCAGGACAGGCTCCAAAGCTACACAGAGAAACCCTGTCTTGAAAGCAAACAAACCAACCAACCAACAAAAGAGCACTTGTTTCTTTCCAACACCCACGTCAGGCAGCTCACAAGCATCTATAACTCCAGCTCCAGGGTATCTGACACCTCTTTCTGTCCTCCACAGGTAACTGCACACATGTGCACACACACAGTGACACACATGCATACATATAAAATAAATCATTTTAAAATATCCACTGCACTGTATGAACTGTGTCCTGTGGCTAAAACAGACATAAAAGTACTTGTCTTATGGGGGACATGTATCACCTTCAAATGACACCAGGTGTCAGTTTGCTCAGGCCATGGTGACAAAGTACTTCAGATGGAGCAGCTTATTCAACACATTTATTTCCTTACACTCGATGTCTCAATAAATCTTATCAAGGATGAGCAAAACAAGACCTAAGTTATGTTTGTCACTTTGTGGGCACATTAGCCCACAGACTGGGGAAATCATAAAGAAGCTCACAGTTGGAGCCCAAAGTGGATGAATGTGTCTGGTGATGGCCTTCTAACTAACAATAGCCACAGACTACATAAGACAGGGAGATCCAAAAGACTAGGCTATATTTTTTATACTTTATTTTATTTATATTTGTATACTCATGCATATTGCTTCCCATGGAGACACCCAGAAAAGGGTGTTGGACTCCCCGGAGCTGGAAGTCACAGGTGGTAATGAACTGCCTTATGTGGATGTTGGGAACCAAACTCTGGCCCTATTCAAGAGCGATATCCTAGTTTGCTTTCTACTGGTGTGATAAAACACTGACAAAAACCAGCTTGTGGAGGAACGGGTCTATTTGGCTTAGAGATTACAGTCCAAATGAAGGGAAGCCTGGACAGGAACCTAGGAAGTAGAAACTGAAGCAGAGACCACGGAGGAATGTGTTTACTAACTTAATTTGCTCTCTTATTATACAACCTTCTAAGGGGCGGCATGAACCACAGTGGGCAGGACCTCCCATATCAACCATTAATCAAGAAAACACCCCCACAGACTGAAAAGACATCTCAATTGAGGTTTCGTCTCCTCAGAAGAATCTAGCTTGTGTTAAGTTGACAAAAACTAATCAGCATAATGTATAGCCCCAAGGAAACCACTGCAGTGACCTATTTCCTCATCCAGGACTTTTCCACTTTCTGCCATGTCCCAATAATGCCATCATATTATGAACCCATGGAGGAAGTCATCCCATCTTGATCTGTCTCTGGAAAAATCTTCATAGACATGCCTAGAGGGGTCTTCACTAACCTCCTACGCACTAAAGATGACAATCAAGATTAACCATCACCCTAAAGGAGTAATATGAGTAAGCTGGTTGGGGGAAAACATGATCAGGACAATTAGAATATGTGAAAAAGAACAGACAATTTGATGGCTATTCTTGGGTGTCCAACTTGACTACACCTGGAATTAACTAAAACCCAAGTGGAGGGATACACTTATGAGAAATTTCTTTTGTTTGAACTACTTGACGTAGGAAGAATCACATTTAATTTGGACTACACCCTTTGGTGGCAGCCTATATAAAGGACATAAAAGAAGGAATCTCTCTCTCTATTCTCTCCCTCTCTCTCTCTCTCTCTCTCTCTCTCTCTCTCTCTCTCTCTCTCTCTCTCTCTCCTGCCTCCCTGCTTGTCCTCACTCTCATCTGGCAAGTCCATTCCTTCACTGGCATTAGAACCTAGTTCAGGATTTCAACATATACTGAAGACCAGCTGAGACATCTAGCCTCAGGGACTGAACAACTACCAGATTCTTGGACTTTCTGGTAGACAGCCATTGTTGGAATAACTGGACAATAGTCTGTAAGCCACTCTAATAAATCCTCTCCAGCCAGCAGATCACACAGGGAGGAAGGATGTGGGAGGACAAAGACAGTCTGTCACTCAGAACATGAGCCTGCAGGGACATTTCACACTCAAACCCTTCGTAGCCCTACTCCAATATGGCTAGTGTCCTTATAAGCAATCAGGTCACACAGGCACACACATGGAACACCATGGAACATCACAAGAAGAAGACCGCTACCTACAGGCCAAGAAAAAAATGCCCTCCAAGGAAACCAACTCTTGCTACCAACTTCCTCAAATGTCCAACTCCAAGGACTATGAGGAAGTAAATGTTTATGGTTTCAGCCACTCAGTCTATGGTTCACTCGTCCCTCAGTATCCATGGGATAATGATTCCAGGACCACATAGGAATGCTCAAGTACCATATCAAATGTGTAGTGGGCTAGAGCTGTGGTGTAGCTCAGTCAGTGGAGTGTTTGCCTTGCCTTCACAAAGCCCCAAGTTCTATCTCCACTATGCACAAACTGGATGTAGTAGTACAT